TTTAGTTAAACTATTAAATAATTATATGGTCACTTAGGCTATGATAATAATACTGCAAAAGTTTTTGATATTCTAATATATCCAATTAAATGTTCTAGACAAATATTTTGAAAAGATTAAAATATATACACGGAGACAAATTAAATAGAACCAGTTTGTATCTGAATTATTAATACAAAGTTACTAGAGGCAGACTAAACGAGATAAATAGGGATTATATAAATAAAATGTAAATGTGAATATAAATTGCTGAAAAACGCAAGTAGCCTGTAATATGTTTGTCTTTACTTTTTAACGCTGCATTAACACAGTTTAGAAGAAAAGATTTGAAAGAATCGCAATTCCGAAATGCAAATAAGATAGACGATTTGCTTGTCGCGGGAAGCTTAATGACAATGTCGGAGGTATAACCGCGAGAACGGCCGATAAATCGCGTTGAACGGAAGCAAATCGCGGCATTCGTCGATGAAAACGGCGATAGCTGAGGCCGGTCTATTACGTGTAATCCGGGATTTAAAGTCAAGACGATGGATCGAGACGGATTAGAAACTCGGCGTAATAGACGTCGAACGGATCGGCGTGGAGGAGGAGGCGCGCGGTTAAAGGCAGATCAAGTCGGATTTTCGATTTGTGTTTCGTTCGTTTAATCATCGTTTATTTCGTCCTGCACATTAATTAATTTCACTTTCCGCCGTTTTTACGCGCCACGAGATAATATAGATTTTTTTCCTTTTCTTTTTTTATTTTAAACTTCGAAACTTTTATAGAGATAATAGAGTCGTGAACATATATCCGTCTTTTTAACTTTTATCATGTAATATATATATATATATATATATCTATATCGAGGTGCTTATGCTGTATCATTAAACTATTAGATTATCAATTAGCGTATATTTTGTTTCGTCCCCGGAGGGTTTCTCTTCCTCTCTCCCTCTCTTTTTCTTCTCTCTCTCTCTCTCTCTCTCTCTCTCTCTCTCTCTCTCTCTCTCTCGCTTCGTGTACCCTCTCTCTTTCTTATCGGCGAGCCGCGAATCGCAGCTGGCGAGGACCGCTTTAAATCATCCCTTTCTCATTACCATTTCAAATGGGCCGCGATTAACGCGAATTAATTATCTACGATGGCAATATTCCGCCTCCGGGGCGGATCGGGGCGCCGCTGCTAAACGTTCGCTCGAACGAAAAGAAAAATCCACCTCGAGGTACAATTTGCTATCTCGATATTGAAAAAATATTGGCTAATTTGGCCGCTACTACGTCGACCGCGAAAGAGGCGCGAATTAATTCACGGAGGATTAAATCGATCGCCAGGCTCGTCGGGAATTGAAAACACCGTCGGAGAATCGCGGGCACTTAAAAGCATTACGTATGAATCGAGCGCGGTAAAATTCGGAATACACGCATACCTTATGCCGCCAAACGATAAGAATAACGATGCCGCAACGATGGTAATAAGCCGTTTATCTTGTTATGCCATTTTTAAAAGATGACTGCAATATGAAGTTTTAAAATAGAAAAAAAAAAGTCTGCGATATATCATTGTTCTTGAGAATATCATTATCAGTAAGATACTAAAAAATGCCGCAACAGGTGTTTTCTGCGGCGAACAATGGATCCCATATTTGTAAATCTTGCCCATTAACATTTTAGAAAATCGTAAATGAAAATTTTATATAATGGGCGACACACGTTGCGTAATTTCCTGCGAAAAGGGGGAGATTAATTTTCGAGCGGGCCTCGCGGCGGTGTGCGTGCTCGTACGTACGCGCATTCATCGTTCTCGCTTTATTGTTTGCGCGTCTATGGTCGACCATCGTGCATGCAAACAATAATCGCGGACGCAAGAACCGATGCGAAAAATAGCGAACGTGGAAATCAAAAAGGCAATCGATTCCGCTGCGAGGCCGAGCGGTGATTTCGGTACGCGCGCGGCTCTCTCCGAGCGGTAGACGCCGCCGTCGACGGCTGATTGTGTTGGATTGTTAAACGAACATTTTTGAAAACTGTCGGATCCATTCCTCGCGCGGGGACCATCCGGGGTTTCGATCGCGCAAATAACCGACAGTACGGAGTACATCCGCCACTTGTCGAGAGCGGTTCGAGCTCGTTAGCTCGATGAACTTCGACCGTTCTGTGACAATATTCCCAGATATTCAATAAAGCCGAGCCGACCGACGTGTGTGTGTGTGGTGTGTGTGTGTGTGTGTGTGTGTGTGTGTGTGTGTGTGTGTGTGTGTGTGTGTGTGTGTGTGTGTGTGTGCGTAAAGGGATTCTGCGATGGGATAAACGTATCCCACAGTAGCGCACACTCGGGGACAAATGGAGTCGTTCTTAACTCGGCTCGATTATATTACGGGTCTCGAGAAATTACCGAGTCGCTTACATGCACGACCGGGACGCGATTAAACTTTCCGTTCGGATATTTCTCTCCGTCACGAATAATAAGCAGGCTTGAATTAATAAGAAGGAAAGACGTCACGTTCGTCGTGGAGAGCACGGCGGGGCGGGAGGAGGGAATGCTAATTGTAATTTGAGCGAGTTTGACATCTCTGTCTGTCTTGATATCTGCGAAAGCGTCTCTCGTATTCCTCCCGTACGTCCAGAGATTAGTCGTCGCGATTAAAAAAAAAATATCGAGCTGTTTAAATATCCGTCGGACGTCGGCGAAAACGAAAGTCCGCCAACGTCGCGGACGATTTCGCGGAGCCTGAAATAATCCGGGAAGTGTAGTCCGCGATGTTGTACAGTTCCTTTACCGTTTATCCGCAATTAAGCGGTCGCGGCGAATGGCGATTATTGCCGGCATCGTTTAATTTGCATGACAATGCGATGCGGCTCGCTCATCGGCATGCACGTTTCCTCGCGCGTTTCGACGATCGAGAAAGTATCGCGCGCGGACGACGGCGGGGGGGGGGATCGGCGCGCTTCGGTAGATCGACTTCTTAATCGGAATACGTGCTCGCGTTATAGAAGAACACCCGAGGCTTTTGCCGTCGTTATCCGAGCTAAGTGGACGTTCACATTGTGAGCGCGTCGAGCGGAACTTAGGGAAAAGATTATCGTTTTACATTCCGCGAATATCCCGAGAAATGTCTCTTAGCGGGTGGTGCGGTGTGGGCGCGCAAATTCCTTCTTTAAGCTCTCTTGAAATTACGTTTGATAAATATGCATCACACGCGTGCGTGCACACGCGGCCATTAACAATTGTAATGGACGGCTGGATATTGTTCGTTCTCGAATAATTATTTATTCCAGATCATCTTAATGCCTCGAGACTCGAGTTAATTTATACGGCGATTTATTCATTTATCGTGTTGCGATAAACGAATAAATCGCGACCTTTTGTACTTAGTATGACGTGTATTTCCTTCGCGTATAATACCGTATCGGTGTTTCCTGTCAGATATTGCGCACGTGACTAAAAAAAAAAAAAAAAAAATATTTCTTCCTCTCGTACGTTTGTAATTCCTCTATCGTGTCCCTCTCTATAGAGGGAGGCCTTTATCACAATTAAAAATGCAAATGTATTCTCCCCCATTGCGCATTGCTTATGTTAATGCCAGTCGGAAAAATTCTGCGATGACTGTAAATATATCAGGGCGCACGGCATTAGTATCGCGCCTTGACAAGTCGTTCAACGTGTGTCAGATAACGCACGTACAAAGAGGAAAACCGTCCCGACCGACCTTTAAACATCTATTTAAAGCACTCTTCGCCCCGTACTCGCCATTTTGATTGCGTTACGAGTTGAAATACAAAAAGCGGGATAATTTATACACTTTGTACTTTTGGAAGAGAAAATTGCTGGTGAGCTTTACAAAATAACCTTCCGAAGAGGAAATAAAATGTTATTATTAAAAACGACATATTTTTACCCTTTTGCAAGTAACGTTATACAATTCAATAATTTTCATTATTAAAATATTTTAATTTACAATTTGATTTTTTTTTTTTATATATAAATTATGATAAAGATTTATAAATTAAAAATCATAACAATCTAGAGGTCTTTGTATATTTACTCTTATTTAAATCAAGTGGAAAAATCTCGTATATTCGATTGTAATTATTACAATCGCCCATCAGCGGCGATTGTTACAAAATCATAGTGTTCCGTTCTGCGCGTAATACAACATCGGCATCACCGGAAATGCGACTAAACAGGTGTTTGCGCCAGCTGTGGTCGCCCTCGCTATGCCTCGTCACGAATCCCTTCTGTCTCGGTTCTCGTCTTCGCCATGTCCCAACTCGTTGTTCGTCGTTCGCTTCCATCGGTGCTTCTTAAAAGGTCATTAGTTATTCTCGGCGCTGCGTCATATAAGCAACGAAATTCCATCTCCGTGAATTCGCTTTCCGTGAAAGACGAAAGCGATTCTCCGCTTCGGGACACCGCTGCTCCGAAACCTGACAATTAATATCGAGAAATTATGCCCGATAACAAATGACTATAATTTTATAATCTGGAGAACTCTCAATACAAACTATAGGGCAAATCTGCCGGCATGGCGCCGTGTCTACAATTTTCAGACTACCAAATTTTATGAAGAAAAAGTCCGTGTGGAAATTAATTCTACACTCTTATTTTTGTCACAGAAAAAAATTAGTCTCAAATCGAGATTATATATATATATATATATATATATATATATAAGCAAGAATATTATAATCTTGGAAAAAGTTTAATCTTAATTTGATTTGAGTTGAGCAAAAGTAATCATTGAATGTCATTCGATCGTTGCGAATCGATATAAATTCAATCAAGGCCCAGATTTTTAAGAGGATTATGATTATTGTTATACATTCGTCTTGATTTAAGATTAATTTTTTTCTTTTCCCGTATGTGGCAACTTTTTATTCGCAACTTTTTACGCGAGGTACATGTGGACTTGATGACAATTTTGGTTACAGTGTGGACCGGGAACGGCTTCGGGAGCGAGAGCGACAGGCCCGCGCGGCGATGTCGGTCCAGGCGGAGCAGGCGACTGCGGGAGGCGGTCCTGATACGAGACACCATCATCACCACAACCATACGCATCATCATCCCATGGTCAGCGCGCCGAACCTCTTCCGTGCCCCAGTCAGGGTAAGTATATTTTCCATCTATTTCGCCGCTGTGCGAAATCGTTTTTTCACCGTATGTCCCCGCGTACATTCGCGTCCGGCGATATTGATTATCTTTTCCACTTTTTGACTGTCTAGCGAATAGTCACTCGTTCGAAAACGCGATCAGATATGTCTCACTTGATTTTCTGATGTTCTATCCGCAAGATGTTCATGGAGGGCCTACAGTACGTTCAGTTAAATATCACGTTATTGTCACGTTGATTATTTTTTGCGTCTATGTGTGTGACCGTATTTTCTAAATATAACTATGAAAGCGTCACAGGCTAATCTAACTAACGATGCACCATGATAAAACATTTCCGTGGATGGAAATTAAAACAGCTACTATCTGCCGGCCATTAATTTATTGTCAGTGATAATACTTTTTTTTTTCCCTTTCTCTTTTTTTCTCTCTTTCTCTCGTTCTTTCCCACTTTCGATGCGGAGAACAACGTCAGTTAAATGTCTGTGCCAGTTAAATTGACACACCGAACCATTTTGCGGTCTTTTTTTCTCATTCGGCGAGATGACGCCAAAAATGTTTCTGTACGGGGAAATGAAAGTAGCGACGAATACTGGCCTGTCGATCAATTTCGCCGCATACGATTGCATCTCGCCGCGCGTATTTAATAGTCATACCGAGTTCTAAAACGGGCACGAGTCTATTTTCCGTATTAAATGGCATTTTATTAAGCCCCCGACTGTTTGCTCGCCCGCTATTCGCGGCGGTTGCGAAGTCGCGAATAATTAATGAGCGAGAGGCGAGAAAATCGGGCTGACGTCCATTTCTTATCGCTCCTCTTCCTTGTCATATTTATTCAAGCAGAATCTCCCTTGCCTTGCGTTGTCTGATCGCTTAATGGATCTTTCTCTTGCGTTTTAAGAGCCATTTCATCCTTTTTCGTGTCTTTTCACTACCGTCTAGTTAGTAATCGCAGGCACCTCGCCAAGTAGATTCACTGACCGCTTCAATTAACGTTAACCGATAGTCTTCGTTCTGTGTATAAATCTACGATAATACGCGCCGCTTAAATTGAATTTGCTCTCAATCAATCATTAATGCTATTCAGTTTAAATAATGAAATAATAAAGTAGATATTCGTAATTCTCGTTCGTGTTTCAAAAATATCGAGAACAACAGCGATTATATTACTGTTATATCGTACTATATTAATTGCAAATTTTAGAAATGATAATTTAAATATTATTTTACAGCATAACATTTTTTAATAATAAGGTGCAGAAAATTTCAATTATTTTACTTAAGGATGTATCATATTTATTTTCATAGTTTTTTTATATTTAATAAAAAAATTATAAAAACCTTATAGATTCTAAATCGTGTTTTAAAAATAATACTTAAAAAAGTTTAGCAGCGATTTATTTATTTATTTAAGTAATTTTTTATACAGGTTCTAAATCGCCGCCAAATTTTTTTGTATTAAACTTTGTTTTAAATACAATCCAGAATAATCTATAATTTTTTCGTAATTTTCTCATTGTAAATGAATATATGTGTAATACACATCCTCAAGACACAGCTACGTGATTACCACACGATTTATCGTTTCTTCGAAATCATTCTGCAAGCAGAGCGAGCGATTCGATTCGAACGTTGCTTCTGTTGTCTGTCGATAAATAAAAATAACCCCACGGCATCTCTATCACGCTCTGGAAAACGCGTAATGCAATTATCTCTCCACCGAGATCCGTCGCCTTCGACCTCGAGAGCTCTAATTCGACAATTGTTCGAGACAATGTCCTCGCGTTACTCATTACTCGTATTGCGTAACGCAATCGGCGTCGTTTAATGTTTTAATTTCGCAGAGCGTTTGGGTTCGCCTCTCTTAAACTTTCTCTCGTTCTGCGTTCCTCGTGAAATATTTCAGGCTGGCGTAGTCTGGTTTCCTTCCGTTCTTTCCATCTTCAATCTCAAATCTGACGCAGTTGGTAGCGTCAGCTGTCTTAAGGGCCTGTAGGGAAACCTCACACGGTCGTTACGAAGTCAAGAACCCGTTGGACCTTCTCCGTGGCTCGTAAACATGACCTTCCTTCTGTTTACTTTCATCCTTGGCCGTTCCCCGCTGGGATTACTTACGTCGAAATTTATTTCTAATCTGCGATGCTTCAACTAGGAAAAGAAAAATGGGCGATCTCTTGCCGGAGAAATTGCGCCATCAGTATAAATTGAAGAAGACCTTGCTTCGCTCTTTAAATGACTATTTACTCCCGCGAGAGAACAGCCGCGGATAGTAAAATTCTGCGGGATAATATCTCTTAGTTATATTCGGATTCGGTTTCTTTTTATTTTTTACGGACCATTGTTCTCGAGAGCAGAAGCTCTTACGTCGAAGCCAAGAGCCCGAAAAGTGATCGTTTCGTTTCGTTAAAGCGACAGTGATGAAAGCATCGATAATGATAACCGATTGAATCGTAACGAAAATTTCCGCGTGGCTGGGATTTTCTTCGAAACCTTACAACCGGTTTATATCGGCGCGGCGTGATATTAAAATTGACATTTGAATATCAACGACGGCGGAATCGTTACACCGGACTGTCTCTCGGCCGGTATTTAACGCGCGACGGAGACGAAAGAAATATTCGGTTCTCTTCGGCTTGTTAGACCGCCTAATTACATAACAGCATTCTCTCATTACGCTCGCGCGACACACCGGCTTTGGTAATACTATTTCTTTCGCGCGAGGGGAGAGGTACGAACCCCGTCCATGCTCCGATTGGCCCTTTCGCGTACTCAACAGGTGTTTTCTCGACTTTTAACTCTCCTTAATGAGCGTTTTACGAGAGCGCGCGGTCGGAGCGATCTGAATTCTCTTAAGCGACTCACGACCGCCGAGGAATTTCTTCATTTCCGACAGGCGTATCGTATTCATTCGTACGCGTATCCGCGTTTCTGTTAACTGAAAGCTAAATCCCAACCTTTTTACAATTCAAATAATCGTTCGGAAGGACAGAACCGAATATTCGTTCGTTCATTTTCCACATTCGTAACGACTCTATTTAAAATTTGCTAAAGCCGATGAGAGGATGAAAGGTATTCAAACCCGCATACGCGTCAGTTTCTGAACACACACAGTCGTTACGAAGAGAGAGAGAGAGAGAGAGAGAGAGAGAGAGAGAGAGAGAAGAGAGAGAGAGAGAGAGAGAG